CCGCCACAAACACCCGCGGCAGGGGCGGGCCGCCGGCGGCGCCGAGGGGGGCGGCCTTGTACGTGGCGTTGCGCGCGGCGGCGGCGGCGGCGGTGCCGAGGAGCAGCTGCCGCGCGGCCGCCTCGTTGGCGATGACAAATGTGCATTTTGAGACGTCGGGTTGCTGGCTTGCTCCGCTGATGTCACAAGCCACCGGGCTGTTTCCTTGCGGTTGCGGCGGCCTGGCCGGCACTGTGGCCTTTGGGGCAGCAGCGGCGGCGGCGCGGGCGACTTGCTGTGTCAGTCGGCGCAGGAACGCCGACGCCTTTGCCTCCAGGGGGTCGACGGCCGAGGTCGTAACCACCTGGGCCGCAAGGACCATTACAATGGCTACAAAGGCCTTGGGTAGCCGCTGGAATCCCATTTGAGACAGGCAGGCCTGCAGGGGGGGGCAAGAGGGGGGGCAGTGGGGTGGCGTTAACCCGTGCTGATTATGGATTGGGGAGGTCCGTTCTCATGCAATTGGTGCAGGCAAAGGGTGTGGCCAGCAGCAGGCGGCACCCACAGCACATGTGCAGCCCGACCGGGCCGCATCGTAGCTCGTACCCGGCGTGAGGAACAGCGGCGTCCCGCCGCCTTTGTCGTGCTTGAATGTGAGCGCCCTCCGCCGTCCTTCGCTGAGCCCTCCTGATCGCTACCACAACAAGCTGAGTCAATAAATGAGACGTGCGTGAGTCTGATGGCGCAACGCGAAGTTCGTTGCCAGGAGCTCGAATCAACAAAGCGAGTTTGGGCGAGCTGGACTTAAAGCTGACGGAATCCTACGATGATGCGGACTGTTTGAATGTGTGTGGGGTACAGTGCCCGAGCAAGTGTGATCAATCCCGAGCAAGTGATGACGGTCGTGTTCTCGTGTTCTCATGCTGGTGTGCAGCCTTGTTGCGTGCCGGGCGAAAGCGAACAGCACGTATTCAAGGCAGCGTGATTTGAGGATGTGAAGCTCGATTTCAGGCTTGCGCCCAACGCGCAGTTTGACCGGCTTATGCCATGTACAGCGGACACTGCGCGTAGTGCAAACGCAGTGGGGTAGGCCAAGGGGTGGTCACAAAGCTCTAGCCCGGCTTCGCGTACCAGCAGTGTGCGGCGTCCTAAAGCACAACCATACCAGCAAGTTATGGCATGTGTATATCCTCAAAGACCTGCCTGAAGCCTGGCGTCGTGCTGCCCTCAGTGCAGGCCGCCGCGAATTTCGACCACTTTAAGGTTCGCTTCAGTCCAGTCCTCCCACATTGCACGGAAACCCGGGGTACAGCTCGACTACAAAAGCAGTAGGCAACCCTGCTTGTACCACTCTCGTCATCGATCATGGACATAAGGTGCGACGCAGCCGCCGCACGGCCTTCATTGTCAAGCTAAGGATGTGAGCAGCGCACGCCAGGGATCCAACCAGCGCCGACGGCGGCAACAGGCCCGAGGAATGCGTGCCGTTGCCATGCTCGCCTTCATTACGAATTGCTCTCTGTGGGAACGGTACTGGTTCACGCGGCCTGCCCCTGCCGTTCATGCAGCTTTCGCACGTAGCAACGCAGCCGGTGATGATGTGACCGAGGCGGCATCTTCGCTCAACTGCAGCACTCGCAGCACTCGTCCCTGTTGAGCCGTGAGCCTCATCAGCTCATCGCTCCCGAGCTTGTCAATCACAGCATACTGTATCAGGCCGAGACTGTGTATTGCGGCGTGTGCGCGTGTGCAGGCCGCTGCTGTTGGTACAGTACTGAAGTGTCGAGTCAACGGGACGGCTTCCATCCGTCGGTGCCCACCTTATTGGATGGCATGCATGGGTGTTAAACACCTGCGCACGTAGCATATGCTGCAAGAAAGTGCAGGATCCACTCGAGGGACGTTTTGGGCAGGCATGGCGGGCTGCTACACCGCATGCGCCTTGAATTGCGGACTGAAACACTCGGCTGAAGCTCTTCTGGAATCCCAACAGCACCTGGATGCGTGTTGCCTCGTCTCCTGCAGCCATGTGGATTTGTCCAGGCAACATAAAATCTCAAGACATCCTGTGGGAAGTCTTCTCAACGTACAGGCATGCAAACCTTGAAGTCTGGCACGAAATCAGCTCACGCGTGCCAAGAAAGTCCATTGCCAGCTGGACGGGTGTTGCGTGAGTTCAAGTCAAGCAGCTGCACCACAGGTCAAAGCGGTGCATTGACAACGTAGCGCCCCGAATCTCAAGACAACCAGGTGGTTGTGAGAGTTGGAAACATTTAAGCTGTAACAGTCATACAATAAACCTGCAGCAACCATCCTCACGATGGCGCGATAGGGGTGTGTGCTCTGCTGCACGCCGACCGCACGCAGCGAGAGCGTCTCAGAGCTGTTGAATGACCCATTCCAGGCGGCGTTATGCCAATGGCGCATGCATATAAAAATTCTAAGACTTGACAGAACTCTTTTGTATCGTCCAATCAAGCCATCGTGGCCTAAAAGGGATCACAACATGCTCGCGGGCCGCGCCGACCGCGTCTTGCAGAAGCGTCGAGCGCGTGTATCATCCTCACTGGTCGATGTCGCTATTGGCGTGTTGAGGTCGCCGCCGGCGCTGCTCACCAGCCGCTGGACGGCAGCGGCTCACCCGCAGCAGCAGCACAGGCGCACGCCACAGCCGCGCCGCTGTCACTCGCAGCGTTCGGGCCGCCCGGTGTGGGTCGTGGCTGCCGGGGCTGCCAGCGGCAGTGTCACTTCGTCAGCGGTCGAGCCGGACTATGTTCTCCAGCTGCCAGGGTCCAGCGTGGCAATCAATGTATTTGGGGTGGAGCATCTGGAGCGGCAGCCGCATATAGGTGGGCACTTCAAGAGAGCAAAAGCAGAAGAGCCACCACCATCAGGCGCAAAATATCAAGCACGGCACGAGTAATAAGTGCATGCGTCCGGCGCGTGCGGCGCGAAACCCAAGCTATCCGGCTCGCGCGCCAACAACGAAATTCGGCGCAATGTGCGCCCGCGCCCCGCCCCCGCCGCAGGCGAGTGGGTCCTGCGGAACCGGCCGGCGGCGGTGGTCGTAGAGACGGCTTGCCACCCCGGGCACGGCGCGTGGCCGGGCAACCTTTTCAGCTGCGCGGACCAAGTCGTGCTGGGGGCGGGCCGCGGCTTCTTCCAGCGCGTGTTTTGTCAGGTGGGCCCCGCGGGCGCCTTTGACTGTGCAGCTGCCGCGGTGTCTTTGCCATGTGAGCAGCCACGAGAGAGATCTTGACATGGATTCAGGGGCGTGAGCCCCGCGATGCCAGCATGCAGTGGCAACTTGCAGCGTGCACACAGCCAAACGCAGCAGGCGAGCGTGCGCCGCGCCCAAACACGCCGGTTATGTGCCACATGTGCGCGCGTGCCCGTGCGCGCGCACAGGTGGCTGCGGCGATGCAGGAGCAGGGGGACGCGGCGCTGGCACCCGGGGGCGTGTGGCAGCAGGCCTGCGAGAACTTCAACGGGGAGCAGCTGGCTTACGTGGCGGCGCTGGCGACGGGCGCCAAGCTTGCTTTTGGGGACCGGCCCAAGGAGATCACTTACAGGTGGGGCGGATCGAAACTTTACCAGGGTGGGGTTTACAGGATTACAAGGCCGCCAGGAGGCACTGGTATGGGTTTGGGGCAGGCAGGGCACGCACGCCGCAATTTGCAGGCTTCAAGTTGGCAGGGCAGCACCCAAGCTTGCCGCCCGCGGCTGCGCCTTGTGGTGCAACATTGCCCCCCGCGCCGCGCCCACACATAGGCGCCTGTACGCGCTGCCGTCTCCCCAACAAATCGACGAGGCCTTCGCCCACGAGGTGCGCCGCCAGTACCTCGAAGTTCTTGGGGAGCCCGCACCCTCGGAATCATCAGCGTCATCAGCAACCTCGGACGTTGTCGACCAGATCATGATGGTGGAGCGCGAGGTCGTCATGTGCAAGGTGGCTGCTGACCTGGCCGCGGCGGAGGGCGGCGCGGTCGCGCTGGTGGTGGGGTCGGCGCACCTGCCAGGTGGGGCTGGGAGGGGGAGGGGGGCGGCGATCTCAGGGTGTGCAGGGTCCCTAGGGAGGGCGGCGACTGCCGTTGGCAGGTAGGTTCTGAGCCGATTGCAGATTAGCAGTCGTTTTCTAAGCGTGACTCCTTTCGCGTGCTGCTCGTTGGCCCCTTGATCTGGACATACCTAACCACCTCCACCTCCACCATTACAACCAACAGGCATCCAGTCTCTGTGGCAGTCCGGCACCTGGCGGCAGCTGCTCGCGGCCGACGACCTTGCAGCCAGCCCCCTCATGGCCGCCCCCGAGCTCGGCCCCTCCGACATGGCCGCCCCCGGGTCCGGCGCGAAGCGCGGCATGCTGGACGCGGTGATGTCACTCAGCGTCACCCAGGAGGTGCTGCAGGATTTGGACAGCCACCTGCCGCCGGTGCCAGAGGACCAGGACGAGGAGCGACAGCTGGCATTTGAATTTTTCAGCGCCCAGAGGACGCAGCTGGCGGCGCTGCCGCGGGAGATGCTGGACCGCGTGTGCGGCTGCGTCAGGGGCTGCGAGTCCGGGGAGAGCATGTGGGACGTGCTCGCGCCGGTGCGGGCGGTGCGGCCGGTCAACGGGGGCAACGGGTGGGACGAGGAGGTGGTGGTGGCGCTGAGGGGACTGGACATGTACTTGAGCGTGGGGGGCGGCGAGGAGGGCGAGGACGCGAATAATGCGGCCGCCCTCGAGGCGTGAAGCGTGTGCAGGCGCGGTGCTCAGTGAGCGGCCGTGCGCACCACACGGTTGGTCCGCGGGCTGCGGCGCCGTGGCGTGGCGTAGCCGGGGACCGCGTGTTGGAGCTCTGGCCTGCGCACGTCTGTGACTGTAATTCAAGCGGCTGATGACGGCCCCAAGCCTCCGTTGCTGCAGTGGTCCTGTCCCGTGAACAACCTGCGTGGTAGACCCCATCAGGATCAGACAGTTTGCGATGCCCCTTTGACCTCTGGCCTCGCCGTATTGCAGAGACATTGGCAGCTAGTGCAACCCTCACAAGGGGCTGTCCTGCATGAGCAGACGGGGGTGTGCTTGCCTGCACCTGGCTGATGGGGGCAGTGGGTGTGGAGCAGCCCTGACTGGAGTAATATAATGGAAGCACTGGCAGCTTCGCAGTACTGTACGGGCAGCTGCTAGATGTGCGTTCGTTCACAAAGCTGCTGGGCGGCCGATCGTATGAAGCAGATGCTGGAGTCGATGCACAAGTGCGTTTTGAAGCTACGTACACATAACCTGAAGCCGGATATTACTTGTTGCGTGGGGAAACACATGGAACATAAGACATAGGAAGCCAGGCAAAGCAGGCATCGACCCAAGCGTGCCAGCAGGAACTGTCAAGCAGGCGGAGGCGGGCGCAAGGCGTGCTGGCACGTCTGGGTGTTGGGACAAAGGGGCGAGGGAGCAGCAATCCAGCAGAGTGGACTGCGTTCAGCGCATGACACAGCCGTTGCAGCTGGTGCGAAAGTCGCCACCTTCAGCTCAGCTGGCCGCAACAACCACACCGAGATGGGACTCTTCTCCCGGGACGGCCGTTGCAGTACTTCAGGGTGCCAAAATCGAGTGCAGGGCGGCCGAGCAAGTCCCAGGCTGGGGACGCGCCCACCACTGGCGCGCCCACCTTGCCAGTGTTTGAGGGCAAACGCTTGACTCTTGCTGCATCCGTAACAGCTGGGTGTGTGTCTGGCGGCGGCCGGGAGCATGCGAGAGAAGGGCCTAGAGGCTGCATGCCTGCTACTTAGCGGCCCAAGTTCCGCTCAAATGTCAGGTGGCGCAACAAGCACAGAGCTCGAATGCTTGCAGTACTCAGCGATCTTATTATGACAGCGGCATTCAAGGAAGATGGCAACCACGGTGACAAAAGGGGCCTCTGATGAACCTGCCCATGCACACACAGCCAGCTGGACACTTCAGCAGCTCGCAGCCACACGTGTGCAGCAGAGGCGGATCGTTGCTGGGAGGTTCAGGGCCAGGGCAGCCGCGCTCTTTTCCAAGGGCTCTGTGTGCACGGGAAGGGGGGCGTCTGCATACGTGGCTTGACGTTGGACTTCGGTATGACAGCATCAAGAGGCCTCATATTCAGCGCGCATAGCAAAATGATCATCAAAACTGTTGATCTGCAGGCTAGCAGACACCCTTGACGCAGGCCTTGGCTGCCTTGAGCTTGGCGGCCTCCGTCGCGGGGTTAAAGCAGCTGGCGCCGTTGCAGATCTCAAACTTGGCCAGCTCGAAGCTGGTGCCGGGGTTGACGTGGATGCTGGCCCTGATTGGTGAGTAGCCCTTGGAGAGGTCGATGTCGCAGCCCTTGAGACCCTTGTAGACGGTCGAGTCGCTGTACCACTGCCCCTTCTTCGCCGGGCAGCCGCCGCCCCCGCCGCAGGCCGTGCACTGCCAGCAGCGCCCCTCCTTGGCGCGCGTCGCGCGCACGGCCTCGGGCTCGGGGCCGGCCGGCAGCTCCAGCTCGCAGCGCACGATGGGGGTGGTCTTTACGATGTCCTTGGCGTCGGCCCATTCGGTGTCGAGGCTTGCAAACGCGCAGTTGTTGCTGCTGGCTGGCCGGCGTGTGTCGTCGAATTTGGTGTACTTGAAGACGCTGCGAACGACGGCGTCCCCCTTGCAGGCCAGGGATACGAGGCTACTCCAGTATTGGTCGTAGCTGTGCGGGAACGACACAGCGATGCAAGGCCGATTTCAGGGTTGGGTGGGGTGTGGGTCAGGGCGGGGTGAGCACAGGCGGTGTTGGGAGGCGCAGCAAACAGCACGCCGCAACGGGGTCCCTGCATTCCCAAGCGGCAGGCCGCAGGGTCGCAGAGTGGCTGCAGGGAGGCGCACACAAATAAGAGGGGGACATCGTGGCGCGCAGGGCGCCCGTTGGGCGTCATGCATGTCCCCACCCCCCCGCCCCCCAAAGCACCCACCTGTCACGAGCGTTGATGGCCTTTGGCAGCTCCGACGGCTTCGGCAGGATCGCCCACATGGTGCCGCTGAACGGGCTGATGTCGGCCGTGGTGGCCGCGTCCTCGTCAGCGCCCATCACGCCGTTGTAGGCGCAGCTGAGCTTCTTGAAGGCGGGGCTGGCACAGAACGCCTCGACCGCCGCACGGGCCTTGGCGGCGGAGTCGTCCTGGGCGCGTGCTGCGGTTTGGCAAGATGGCAGGGCCAGGGTGTGTGAGGCAGCTTGAGAACGCGGGAGATCGCACATGGCGAGGTGCTGCCCACCCTGTTGATCAGCCTGGGAACTTTGGGCGCGCAAAATTGGTGCGGCGGCAGCTGCGCGCACCTGCTGGCAGGCAGGACGCGCCCACGGCCAGCACGGCACACCACAGTGCCAGGCGCGCGATCATGGTGAAGATTATACGCTGCTTCGTGTGCCAAGTGCGGAGATCCGGGCAAATACCACGGCAGATGAGTGCGTGGAGGGGTCGACGAGCGCGGGCACCGGCTTGCTTAGCAAGTTTGGGTTGCGTTGCACAGAACTCAAGAACATTGAACGTTAGCGTTTACAAGGCCTGCACACAGCTTCATCCTATCAGCATCTTGGATGTCCACTACCGTCACTAAGGGTCACCAGTAACCGACCCTCCGGTGACGGCCAGGTGTGGTTGGCCAGAATATCAAAGGCATGGCACAGGAGGAGCTCAGCATGAGTCGGGCATTTTGGGTCACGCAATTGCTACAGAGTGCTTGGACATCCTGGATGCCTGGCGTGCGCTTGGACCCACGTTGTATGGACAGGCCGAGTTCGGGTGCAGCTGCCCAGGACTGACGTGGGTGCTTTAAGAGCGCGGTCGCACAAGCCACGCGGCGATTGTGTACTGAGGATTTAGGGGCGCTGGACGTGCGTTGTGGCTCGTGGCTCTGGTGCGATTTGGGGGCGCAGGCACCGGTGGGGCCACAGCAGAGGCGGGGGGCGGGCTGAGAATGCAGCTCACACACGGAGAACTGGCCATTCCTGGCTCACGGGCAGTGCGGCTGCCTTGCACTGGGCTGGGCAACATGTTGAAATAGACCACGCCCCCTACCACACGCCTTAGCCGTGCAGTGCAAGTCCGCTGCTCGTAACAGCTGCTGCGAGTGTGGTCGCGGCGCAGTGTCCCTGCAAACCAAACATCGGTGCCTGTAGCGGGTTGGTTCTGAGCACCTAACAGTGGGGGCTGCCCATAGATATATTTTAATGGGGTGCAGTTACACCAGTCTCGACCCGCTACTGACAAAAGCGACGGAAGGGAAGAAGCGCCACAGAAGGTGGCAGCGGCACGCACCAGCGCAAAAATCACAGCCCCATTCAGCTAGTGCTGTGGACCGGCGGGGCCCAAGCCGGCGGGCCCCTGGAAACTAAAGCAGCAATTGGTGAAAACGTCAGCGTCCTCCCCTCACGCAGCGCCGCGGTGCCGGCCTGCATGGCGAGTGGTGCCCAGTGCGCGGTGCGACCGCGGCTGGTCGCACGCTGCAAGCACACGCGAGGGCGCGAAGAATTCAGCATCATGTAGTGGGTTGGATAGCGACAACGCCTTGCATCTGGAGCGAGCATCATTCATTCTTGCAAGATTGTATTTCAAAGTAGTGTTTGTGTTTGACTTCTGGTCAATTGCTGTGATTGACTGGAATCTGGGGCTTCATGTTGCGGGCAACTCGCTCAAGCCTGCACCAAGACCCTCCTTGTGATGCGTGCTGGCTGGCGGTGCGCACCAAGACGTGCGCATGGGCATTCGTAGGAAGATGGGCTATAAGGGTGTGAAGCTACAGCGGGCCGCACAGGGATGAGATGAAAAGGCAGTCAGACGCGCGTGCGGCACACTAATAGAGTGACCCAACACCTGCGCCGCGCCAACACGCGCACAGTGCCCCGTGGCGCGAGTGCCGCTCTACTCAGCGCTCAGCGCCACAAAAAAGGTGGCCGGGTCGGGGCGCAGCAGCCCGGGGGCCGCGGTATCAGGGTGATACCCCTCCGCGGCGGTGTAGGCGCGCGGGTACGCAAGGTGCTCCGGCAGCGGGCGCGCCCACGCGCCGGGCCGCCCGAGCGACGCGTCAAGCAGCCACAGGCGCACCAGGTGGCGCGGCGCCGCCGGGTCGTCTTTGAAGGGCGAGCGCGCGTGCAGCACCGCGGTGTTGTCAACGAACAGCATGTCGCCGGCCTGCATCGTGAACTTCAGCCGGAACGCGTCCGAGTTCGCTATCTCCTCGAAAAGCGCGATCGCCTCGGCCTGCGCGGGCGACATCTCGCCCAGGCCGCCGGGGCCGCCATAAAGGTCAAACGCCTCGGTGTAGTGGTTCGTGGGGCAGTAGTGCGCCGCGAACACGCCGCCGGTGTAGTCAAACACGGGCATTGACCACCACGGCTCCTCGCCCTCGCGCGTGTGCTGGTAGCGGTCCTGTGGGGGTTTGGGGTGGGCGGGGCGGGGCGGGGG